CCGCCCCGCCGCCGGGTGCCCTTCCCCGATGCATCGGCGCCTCGCCGGGCGGCGCTGTGGAAACTGGCTACCTACTCGAGCTGATTCGCCCTCCCCTCCCCCCTGACTCTACAGCGCCGGTTTTAATACATGCTCCGCGTGTGGATCATGTATTACAAATGCAGGGATTCCCAACCCTCCTGCGTTGGGTTCTCCTTTTGAATAGAGCACTGCTCGCGCGAACCTTCCTTCTCGTCCCTCTCCCCCCCCCTGCCTTTTACCTGGCTCGTCGCTGCGTTTCGAGGGCTGCTGGGGGCTGCGATCTGTGAAACTGTCGCCACTTTCGACGCCTGCTGGGGGGCCCAGCACAGTGGGTACCCACGGCGGATTCAAATGGGACCTCGCCATCCCTGGGGGGCTGCGATCTGTGAAACTGTCGCCACTTTCGAGGCCTGCTGGGGGGCCCAGCACAGTGGGTACCCACGGCCGATTCAAATGGGACCTCGCCATCCGTGGGGGGCTGCGATCTGTGAAACTGTCGCCACTTTCGAGGGATGCTGGGGGGCCCAGCACAGTGGGTACCCACGGCGGATTCAATGGGACCTCGCCATCCCTGGGGGGCTGCGATCTGTGAAACTGTCGCCACTTTCGAGGCCTGCTGGGGGGCCCAGCACAGAGGGTACCCACGGCGGATTCAAGTTAGACCTCGCCATCCCTGGAGGGCTGCGATCTGTGAAACTGTCGCCACTTTCTTACCTCGCTCGTCGCTGCGTTTCGAGGGCTGCTGGGGGCTGCGATCTGTGAAACTGTCGCCACTTTCGAGGGCTGCTGAGGGGCCCAGCACAGTGGGTACTCACCGCAGACTCAAATGGGACCTCGCCATCCCTGGGGGGCTGCGATCTGTGAAACTGTCGCCACTTTCGAGGGCTGCTGGGGGGCCCAGCACAGTGGGTACCCACGGCGGATTTAAATGGGACCTCGCCATCCCTGGGGGGCTGCGATCTGTGAAACTGTCGCCACTTTCGAGGGCTGCTGAGGGGCCCAGCACAGTGGGTACTCACCGCAGACTCAGATTAGACCTCGCCATCCGTGGGGGGCTGCGATCTGTGAAACTGTCGCCACTTTGGAGGGCTGCTGAGGGGCGCAGCACAGTGGGCTTCCCGCACGTCTTTCTCCTGCTCTTCGTTCCCGACTCCCCATGTCTTCTTCGAGCCTGTAGTTGTCGCCCCTCGTTCTTGTATGGTTCTCCTGCGCATCATGCCATTGGCGCGTGTCCCAAGTAGCTTAGATATCAATCAACGGATCCTGCAATTTGATTGTCCGTGCAAGTTTCTGCCAACTCCTCGCTTCCCATGATACAAATGGGTTGGGTACGTCACAGGGTAATTGAGTATTAAAAACAACGATGAGTTCATGCATAAATTTAGTCATAAATTTGTCATGTATTAAAATCCAATGTTAAAAAAACCCTATGTATTAAAGACTGCCCTGTAGGCCTCCTAGATGGGGTCGGAGTAGATGGGGTCGAAGGATCGCGCCGCATCGGCGATGCTAGGCGCTGCGGCTCGATGTGGGGGCCGATTTTCTCCACGCCGACGTCGCCGATGCACCGCCGACGTCGCCAGCGCATCGCCGATGTGTCGGCGATGCGGCGCGATCCTCCGACCTCATCCACTCCGACCCCATCATAGAGGTCTCTACTGACCCCCCCCTTCGAAGGAGGCCAGCTGTGCGGGGCCACAGACACGGGAGGCAAGCTCAGCACGCCCGGCACAGCGTGCCGGCCTGGCAGGGCGGGAACCCCTGGGGGCGGGGGGTGATCGGCGCCCTCGGGGCGGGAAGGCTCGCCCCGGGCTCGTGGCCTTGCCCGGGTCCGAGTCGGCCTCCGCCTCGCTTCTGCTCGTGGCGTGCCCGAGTTTTGGGATCTCGCGCTGCAGTTTTTCTGCACGAGCGAGATGGGTACGGAAAGAATGGGCACAATGCCCAACAGCAATTCCTGCTCATTTCGAACAGGGCTCGCTGTCCGCGCCGCCGCGGCCTGTGTCCGTTTGAGACAGAAGGCCGCCTGCCCAACAGCGGCCGCTGTTCGTTTGGGACAACATTTTTTGTTGGGCATTGTATCAATTTTTCCGTGTGTTGGTAGTCAAATGATGAATGTGCGCACTGTGGGGAGAACTGCATGTTGAAAACGACGGGTCCTTCATCCTACTAACTGCCGGCGTTTGTCAGCTTCAGAGTAATACATTGCAAGCAAGGCTCAAGCAAAAGCTCTGGCCCAGCCTACGGACACGTCTGGTGGTGTAACTGTAGGCCTTCCAGGGGTCCGAGCATATTGGGACGGATGAGCGCGACGAATCGCCGACGCATCGGCGATGCGGCTCGACGTGGAACCAGATTTATTCCACGCCGACGTCGCCGATGCATTGCCGACGTCGCCGATACATCGGCGATGCATTGTCGATTCATCGGCGATGCGGCGCGATCCTCCGACCCCATCGACATAGACCCCGTTCGGGAGGCCTCTAGTGGCAGGGGGGGAGTTGCTGATAAGGAACGGGGAAGCAGGAGGAGTAGGAGGAAGAGGAGGAAGAAGAGGAGGAGGAGGAGGAGGAGGAGGAGGAGGAGGAGGAGGAGGAGGAGGAGAGGACTTGAGGTGATATGGCTTTGGGGCGCCTTAACCTCGTTGGTGGGCCCAGCCACCTGTTGTCACCACCCCGTAGGTCACGGTGGCCCGAGTTGCCGCTCTTGGAACGGCAGTGGCCGGCTTTCCCTTCTTGGGCCACCTGGGCAGGCCCGACGGGGCGTCGCGCCTGCAGCGGCTGCGTGACCGACTCGGGGCCACCCAAGCAGGCCAGAGGGGGGAAAGGGCATGTTGTGCTTGGAGGGGGTAGGATTTGTCCGCCCAGGCGGCCCGTAGGGCTGAGGTCCCAGTCTCCAAGTCACGGAATCGTTGCGCCATTGGGGGGTTGGTTAATTCTATTATTCATACTCGCGCGTCTTATGACATCGCCCAGTATATGACAGCGATATGATGATGGGCGCTCCGATGATGTTTACATGAGAGAGACCATGCATCAGTGGGTAGGGATTTGGAGGCTCGCGTCAAATTCGCTGTCGGACCCGAGCGTTCGGTTCATTGCGCCGCCTCAAGACTCGGCCGGAGAGGATACAAGTAGTTTCAATGTGGTGTGTGTGTGTCTCATTTTGGTGTCACCAGGCCATTGGTAGGCAAGACACCAACCACATAGAGGTCACGGAACATATAGTTCCTCTCTCACACCCCGCCAGGGCTTTTAACACAACGAGGGCCCCCCCCGCCGGGAGCGGAATTCTTGAACTCGGCTCCCCAGACAGACCTCTTGGATGGCCTGGAGAGCACAGCCAGGAGCCAGGACGCCCTCTGTCCAATCTCCTCTGCACGCCCAGTTGAGGGGGGTCCAGAAGCGGAGTGCGCTGCCGTCCTCCGGCAAGCTCTCGGCGGAGCACGGCTGCAGCAGGGGCCCGACGAGGCGTCCCGAGCTGTGCTGTCGGCCGGGCCATGCTCGTGTCTTCGGCCGCGGCTCTGGGCGCGGCGGAAGACAGGAGGTGGAGGAGGAGGAGGATGAGGAGGAGGAGGAGGAGGAAGAGGAGGTGGAGGTGGAGGAGGAGGAGGAGAAGAGGAGGAGGAGGAGGAGGAGGAGGAGGAGGAGGAGGAGGAGGGCTCTCCCCGCCGACCAGCTCCCAGTTGTGTGTCGCCTCGCCGGACAGGGACGTCCCACCGACCTGCCAGGCCGCTGCGGTCGCCGCGGCCCCGCTCCGGGCGGCGACGCCAAGAGCGCGGCGTCGGGGCGGCTTCCCGCCGACGACGACGAGTGCAGTCTCTTCGATGACGACGACGATGACGACGACGATGACGATGACGATGACGATGACATCGATGACGATGACATCGATGACGATGACGATGACGATGACGATGACGACGATGACGATGACGATGACGATGACGATGACGATGACGATGACGATGACGATGACGATGACGATGACGATGACGATGACGATGACGATGACGATGACGATGACGACGAGGACGATGACGATGACGATGACATCGATGACGATGACGATGACGATGACGCCGCGCCTGAGAACGAGGGTAGGCCGGCACAGCCCGAGCAGTGTCGGAGGCTGCAGCGTTCGCTGTGGCAGTTTGGCCTGGTCGCCGGCGCCGCGCGAGCCACAAGCTTCCCTATGCCTCGCAACGCTCTCGTTGCGGAAGCGGGATGCCAATGCCTGTCCATCGACGGGGAGGGGCATCCAAACCAAAACGGCACCAGCTTGTGGCCGTCAGCGTCGAAGGTAGCTTCGCCCGCAACAGCGACTGACCGTCACATGGCCATTGGAAAGTGTCAAAGTTCTCGTGCGCCAAGCAACGCCCCTATTGCGAGGGCGGAGTGCCCATGCCTATACATCGACAGGGATGGACATCCCAGCTTTAGGCACGATGGGGCGGATGCCAGCTTTTCCAAACCATCCAGGCACGAAAAGCGGCGGCCAACTCCTGTCCATCGACAGAGGTGCGCATCCGGGTTTGCGCGGCGCCTGCACGAAACCGACGCGGTCGAGTGCTGTCGTACCCGCAACTGCAGTGGGGCCATCGAGCGGTCACCGAAACGGGCCGCGTACACACGCCATCCCTGGGTGGGGGCCGTGCCTTTGCTGGAACCTGAGGCCATTCACTCCTACGCCACGGACGCCCAGCCGCTCACGCGGCAACTGGCTAGCCAGGGGTGCTCTTCGAGCTCAGTGCACTCTTCGTGGCGCCCCGTGCAGAGCTTTTCCCTTTACCCAGTAGCGGATGGCGTCGGCACGGGAAGGAGGAGGAGAAGGAGAAGAAGGAGGAGGAGGAGCAGGACCAGGAGCAGGAGGAGGAACAGGAACAGGAGGAGGAGGAGGAGGAGGAGGAGGAGGAGGAGGAGGAGGAGGAGGAGGAGGAGGAGGAGGAGGGCGTCGCCCTGCTAGCTCCGATGTCGCCGCAGGCCTCCTGGACAGCATCTCGTCCTCGGACTGGCAGCAGTGCGTGGACCGCATCGTCACCTTCGGCGGCGACGTGCGCATTGCGCTGTGCTCCCGGGGTACAGACTGAAACTCCCCCTCCCTCCTCCCTCACTCTTGGCATCGCTCGGACGTGTGCACTGTACTGCCTCCTCGGCGAGGGCCATCGAGGAGCATCTTGGATCATCCAGCGGAACGTACACGCGCGACATCGAGGAATGCACGGGGCATGGACGTCCGAGCGATGGGCGAGCGCTCGCTCGCCCCTCCTCCATGTGTGGCCTACGGCAGTGCGCAGGGTGTTTTTGAGAACGTCGGGGCTCCGGGGGGCTCTCGCCGGTGCCCCCGGATGCTGCCCCCCCTCGGGCCACGAAGCCCAGGCGGAAGGGGCACGGGGCATGGACGTCCGAGCGATGGGCGAGCGCTCGCTCGCCCCTCCTCCATGCGTGGCCTACGGCAGTGCGCAGGGTGTTTTTGAGAGCGTCGGGGCTCCGGGGGCTCTCGCCGGTGCCCCCGGATGAGATGCTGCCCCCCCGCTCGGGCCACGAGGCCCAGGCGGGAGGGGCCCGCGCTCGTGGCGCGGCCGTCGCGGCGCAGGCCCTCCCCCCGCCAACGCAGCCCAGCCTGGACTCCGGCGTCCCCCCAGCATACCCATCGGTCGTTGAAAGTAGGTGTTTTTGGACCCCCAGATTCCAATCTACGTCGAGCGCCTTCCTACTTCAAGAGTCGAGGGGCTTTCCCTCTTCCCTCCTCTTCAGGGGGAGGGCGGAAACCCAATCTATTTCCAACGCCTTCCTACTTCATGTTTCTACCTACTTCTTCCGACCGATGGGTACTTATACTATGTGTGCGTCGCCCCCCCAGGGGCGACGCGCGCACCGAGAACTCTTCTGGCACGTGCGTCGTGGCGCGCGCGCTTTCTGGCCACACCGCTCGGGGAACGATATACTACAAGATGGGTACACCATATGCTTGGGTCGGACGCGCGCCTCAAAGGCGGACATACAGTGTTAGTATGTCTCTGTGCGCCCCATGGATCCCGACCCTGCAGCCGACGCCGGCCTTGGCAAGCAGGGGGGGGGCGCTGTTTGTTGAGCTATCCCCGGGGCGGACGAGGCTCCTCTTCTGCTCGGCCTGCGGAGGCCATGCTGCTGCCTCGGCGGGGGCCATGCTGGGGGCTGCGGGACTCGCGCGGAGGCTCGGCCCGCCCCCGAAGCGGAGCTGGCAGGGCAGAGCCGTCCAGCCCGTTCCAGGTCGGAGCGCCCGCATCGGCCGCGCAGGCTGGGCCCCGTGGGAACTCCAGGGGGCTCGGCGGTGGAGCTGTTTGACCCCCGGTTCGTGGACGCCGGGCGGGGTATGACCACCCCACCAAACCACCCCAACCCAACCCGAAGGCCTCAATTTGCTTTCCATTTCCAGTGGGGGGGGGGTCGGGAACACTGAAAAAACACATATGGAACCCGCACCCCCCCCAACCCGAAATTGGGGTCTTCGGGTTGGGTTGGGGTGGTCTGATAGGTAGTCGGGGTCCCGCCCGGAGGGCCCGGGGGCTTCGAGGGCCCCTCCTCTCGTGGGTGCTGGCGGCCCCTGTCTCTCGGAGGGCCTCCCACGCTCTCGGGCTCCACGGGACAGGAGCTCGTGAGCTGGGCAACTCACTCACTGACTTATTTGCCATGCGCCGAAGCGCGTGGGCGAAAACACGGCACGGCCAGCCAATCCTCACCGCTCTGCGGGAGTGGCGGCACGGCGCGTCGGCGGTCGCATAATCTACAGCCTGCGGAGGGGGAGGGGGAGGAGGAGGAGGAGAAGGAGGAGGAGGAGGAGGAAGGAGGGAGGACGACCAACAAGCGGCTGATACGAAGAATTCGGCAAGATCAGGGGCCCGTCCGAGCCGCGCCGTGGTGACAGAGAGGTCCTCTTCGACGGGCTCCCCGCGGGGTTTTGGGACTCTCTCTCTCTCTCTCGCTCTTTCTCGTTCGCTTTCTCTTTCGCTTTCTCTTTTTTTGTTCTCTCTCTCTCTCTCTCTTTCTCTCCGCCCCCCCAGTGGCGCGCAATCCTTCTGCTCCTCATCTCCTCCTCCTCCTTGTCCTCCTCCTCCTCCTCCTCGTCTTCCTCCACCGCCTCCCCCTCATCCTGCCCCGTCTCCTCCTCCTTCTCCTCCTCCTCCTTCATATGCGCCTCCTAGTCCTCCATCCGTTTTCCCCACTTCTAGACGCTTCGCGTAACCCGCCGAGGCTTTCCCTGGCGGTAGGTCCTGCTCTGCTCCGCGCTAGGTAATTAGGCCCCCGCGCGGCCCGCTGGGACCTTACTCGCCGCTGGCGCTCTCGCCTGCGGCTGCTAACCAAAAAAGTAACCCGCCGAGTCCATCCAAAAACGATGCCCGGACGAGTTGCCCTGATCAGGGATGTGGGTAAGCATGCTGTGGAATAAAGGGCTCGGTGCAGTCAGCCCGAATAGTAAGGATTACCAATTGTCCAAGGTCACCTTTGCGTCTTTCCCCTTCGTCCCATCCTTTGCCGCTTTCGCTGGCCGCTCCCCGCTCGCAGAGCGTCGACATGGCCCTACAAGACCGCTGCATCCGTATCCAGTGTCCGCATGATACGGGTTGATTGTAAGCCGTCTTACCCTAGGAGGGTGAGGATGGAGGAGGAATCGGAGGAGCGAAGGGTAGGGGGAGGAGGGAGGAGGACGGAGAAGGAGGAGGATGATGAGGAGGAGGAGGAGGGCGAGCAAAAAGGCCAGCAGCCTCTTGGATGCCTCTCGAAATTTGTTCGGATGTTTTTTCGAGAGCTTCTTGGAGTCCCCTTGGCGCGCCTTGGGGGTCTCTTGGCAGTCCCAGGGTCTCTTGGGGTGTCTTGGGTGCCTCTTGGGGGGCCTTTCGGGGCCTCTTGCGGGTCTCTTGGAAGTCTCTTGGAGGGGCATTTTTTGGGGGGGCTCTTGGGGCCGGCTGGGAACCTCTTGGTGCCATCTTGGTGCCATCTAGGAGGAGATCGATCAACGAAGTGGGCAGAGTAATGTTGCCCCCCCCTCCCCACCAGTAGGCCAGCATGTTGCCACAACCTGTTGTAATCTCAATGATTGGTGCTTCACGCCGAGGCCGTTTCGGATGCTCCAACGACACGCCGCCCCCCTCTCCAAGTCCAGGGGCGAGGGGGTACGGGGAGGGGTCAAGCTACCCTTCAAGATAGCAGGCCGTCTAGCTCACTCCCTCTCGCCCCCCCCGCACAGAAGTAACACCCGAGTGTCAGCAGATCGCTTAGGAACGCCACACACATGCCATGCGCGCCACTGGTTCCAGGTGCTTCAGGCACCCTGGAGGCCCAAGCGTGCCAGGTGCGGCACATGCTCCACGTGCGCCATTTGTGCCACGTGCTCCAGCCGCGCCATTTGCTCCAGCTGCGGGGAACCAATGGGGACCCCAGGTTCATGGGGCCCTGGCCCCAAGGAGTTCGGGATCTGGAATCCCCCTGAAGCCAAGTGCCGAGCACCCTGTGAGAGGGGTGGCTCTTCACTGGAGAGCAAAGCACCGGCATCGATGGACAGACCGTGACATCTTGGGGGGCCGTGAGGCAGACGAGAGCTCAGAAGAAAAGAGGCCCCCGCGCGTGCTCCAGATTTGCTGGGGGAGGGGGTGTTCATTCACAGGGAACAGTGATGCACCCCTCCGAAGGGGAAGAAGGGGGATAAGGAAACGCTCTCAACCACTCACGCAAGGGCTGGTGGGACTTATAACTCCTACTCCTCTTCCTCCTCCTTCTCGTCTCACCACCAGACGTGTCGATAAGGCGGGTCGGGCGGTTCGCATAATATGTTCTTCCCGTTTGTGACCCCAAACCATGAGTTTTCCAGCAGTTGCACTGGTGGGGGGTGGTTGCTTTTCAATATGTGGGTCTTTCCTTAGAGCAGCGCAGATTCGTACTACAAGTCTCCGACAATGATTGACGCTTCGCCAGCAACGATTCCAGCAACGGAGGAGGAGGAGGAGGGGGAGGAGGAGGGGGAGGAGGAGGGGGAGGAGGAGCAGCAGGAGGAGGAGGAGGAGAAGGAGGAGGATGAGGAGGAGGAGGAGGAGGAGGAGGAGGAGGAGGAGGCGGAGGAGGAAGGAGGAGGAGGAGGAGGAGGAGGAGGAGGAGGAGGAGGAGGAGGAGGAGGAGGAGGAAGAAGACTGACTGACGGACTGCCCCCTGGAGGGCCGATGTCGCCTGTACGATCAAGGGAGCATCGCCGCGATGCCCCTCGTCAACAGCAGGTCGAGGCCTCGAGACCCTGTCTCGAGCCCGAAGCCCACAGCACGGTGAGCCTGGGTACAGGTGCTTGCCTTCTGGGCGGGCCGCTGGGCACAGGGCGGCGCCTGCGGAGCCATCGCGGCTCCAGGTTCGCCCGCGCGGACCCCGACGCGCGGGGAGCCCACGGGGGGGGCATTCTCTGACGGACTGGCGGCCCAAGCGGCGCCCATGCACACGGAGCGCGAGGAGCGATCAGGAGCGGGGGGGCATGTCGCTGCAGGGCCCCTTGGGAGCAACACCTGCAGTTCCCTTTTTCAGAGGACCGCGATGGCCTCCAGGAGTCGGAGCGCCAAGATACCCTAAGCAGCGAGAGGGGGGGAGGGCAGAAGGGCGGAGGACACACAAGCAGGGAGACGAGACAGGAGGGAGGGACCACAGCATCACTGTTCAGAGAGTTCGCTCCTACGTGTGGCGTTATACTTTGGCTGGTGCCGCGTCCTAGCCTCATCGAGAGCTCGAGTGCTGGTGGGAAGCGCTTTATGTTGCAAGACTCAAGGTGCATGTTTAGCATGCGAGCCTCAGTCACTTCTCTCACTTCTCCTGCTCCTCCACGAGTCCCTCTTCCCAGGCCTGCAACTCCTCCTCCATGAAAGTGGGCGGCGCATTCCCCTGCCTGCGACGGGTGTCCGAGATCAGACTCAGAGCCCCGGTGGTTATGAGGCGGAAATTGGGGTCCCGAAGAGAACCTGTCAGGCGCTTGGTCTCTCGATGATAGGTTTTGTCGATTTTGCCGAACAGGTCAATTCGCATGTCTGGTCGATGTTCCACCCCTCTATCGCCTGG